ACTATGTCATATTATATTGAGCATCGTGTGAATTACCGAAACCGAAATCGGTAGTGGTTCTAAGTGAATGGTCTTGTAATAAAAGTAAGGATTTAATTCACGTTAACTTATTAATATGCAAATTTTGAGAGCTTCTCTTGAACAACCCAATACAGGCAAAACAACACTCACCCCGAATTTAATAAACAACATTTCGCTGTACTTGAAAAATATGGAAGGCACAGGCCTAAACTCATTTCGTGTTCAAAGTTAGGTATGCGTAAACCTCTTTCTATTATGTGTATGTTATTGTGTACAATTTCTAAGCTCTAATTTTTCTGTTTTTAGTGAGGCAACTTTGTCGAAACTATTAGTAACGTTTCATTGCAAAAATTTTCTTCCTTTCAACAAGCAGTAGTTATTAACTTTATTAGCCAACGTCTGTTAAATTTTAAAGAAATTTGGGGTGCCTATAGGGTGATATGGGGAAGCGAAAACGTCCTATTTTGGTTTTGCTTCATAACCATCTTCATGGTTGTTGAATGTTGATAGTGTCAAAAGTTTAAAATAGCCATAACGGCTTGACAAAATTTGTTTTAGTTTTTTTCGCATACATTGGCCAAAATGGCTTAAAAAACTCTACAAAAAAGTTCATTACAATTTTTTGAGAGTTCCTTTGTTTTTGAGAAGTTGAATTACAAAAAAGATGTGTCTTGATGAGATCTAAAAAAAAGGCTTCTATACTTTTTTAGTCGGCTTCAAAATAAAGGCGGTAGAGAGCACTTTCTAAATGTTATACTATGACCAAGGATAATTGCAATGTCTATTAAAAGTAGTCCGAAAGTCAAGGAGTTTACCTGACAACTAGTTTCTAATCAGTCATTATTTTTAAGTAAACTTTTACTGCCCAAAAAATTGTTTTATGGTTTCAGGTAACAAGTTGCTCCTGGGATCCAAATTTTGGAACCATCGAATTCAACTGTACTTGGTGCACCTCTCACTAGTGAAGCAATTAAAACAATCCTTCGGAAGAAAGCACAAGATTTCAAAACACTGCCTTTTTTGGGGCCCGAAAAAAAAATTGTCTCAGATCGACTCGGAAAATAATTTTCTTATAGAATGTGGCCTGTAGAATCCATAATTTCAAACAGTTCCAAGAGGGGGTACTAGTTTGAAAGTTACAGCCCTTTGAACTTTCTTTCGAAATTGGTTTCTAGCCTATAACTTTTGATTGAGAAGTCTGATCGAAAAAGTACGAATTGTTTTGGATTCTACGCACCAAAATTAATAAGAAAAAGTGTTTTCCCGAGAAATTTTGGTGCAGTCGATTTTTGGTAAAAAAGGAAAAAAGGAAGGTTATACACTGCCTTTTTTTGAGCCCCGAAAAAAAAATTGTCTCTGATCGACCCGGAAAAAATTTTCTTATAGAATGTGGCCTGTAGAATCCATAATTTCAAACAGTTCCAAGATTGGGCTACTAGTTCAAAAGTTACAGCCCTTTGAACTTTCTTTCGAAATTGGTTTCTAGTCCATAACTTTTGATTGAGAAGTCTAATCGAAAAAGTACGAATTGTTTTGGATTCTACGCCTCAAAATTAATAAGAAAAAGTGTTTTCCCGAGAAATTTTGGTGCAGTCGATTTTTGGTAAAAAAGGAAGGTTATACACTGCCTTTTTTTTAAGGCCCGAAAAAAAATTGTCTCAGATCGACCCGGGAAAAAATTTTTCTTATAGAATGTAGCCTGTAGAATCCATAATTTCAAACAGTTCCAAGATTGGGCTACTAGTTCAAAAGTTACAGCCCTTTGAATTTTCTTTCGAAATTGGTTTCTTGTCTATAACTTTTGATTGAGAAGTCTGATCGAAAAAGTACGAATTGTTTTGGATTCTACGCACCAAAATTAATAAGAAAAAGTGTTTTCCCGAGAAATTTTGGTGTAGTCGATTTTTGGTAAAAAAAAGGAAGGTTATACACTGCCTTTTTTTGAGCCCCGAAGAAAAAATTGTCTCAGATCGACCCGGAAAAAAAATTTTCTTATAGAATGTGGCCTGTAGAATCAATAATTTCAAACAGTTCCAAGATTGGGCTACTAGTTCAAAAGTTACAGCCCTTTGAATTTTTTTTCGAAATTGGTTTCTAGTCATAACTTTTGATTGAGAAGTCTGATCGAAAAAGTACGAATTGTTTTGGATTCTACGCACCAAAATTAATAAGAAAAAGTGTTTCCCCGAGAAATTTTGGTGTAGTCGATTTTTGGTAAAAAAGGAAGGTTATACACTGCCTTTTTTTGAGCCCCGAAAAAAAAATTGTCTCAGATGGACCCGGAAAAAAATGTTCTTATAGAATGTGGCCTGTAGAATCCATAATTTCAAACAGTTCCAAGATTGGGCTACTAGTTCAAAAGTTACAGCCCTTTGAATTTTCTTTCGAAATTGGTTTCTAGCCTATAACTTTTGATTGAGGTCTGATCGAAAAGGTACGAATTGTTTTGGATTCTACGCACCAAAATTAATAAGAAAAAGTGTTTTCCCGAGAAATTTTGGTGTAGTCGATTTTTGGTAAAAAAGGAAGGTTTATACACTGATTTTCAACTGACTCTCATCACGTCTTTTCTTACTCCCTTCGGACTGCGCTTTCTTCTTACTTCGAGCATCCATATCCTTACTTTCTTCGATGTTCACCTTCTTGGAAACCCACAAACACCTTGAAGAATTATGATAAAACTCTCTTGAAGAAATCCTAAATATTCGCCTTTCCGATAATATTTGGCTACAAAGTGGATTACCTGTAATAGATGACGGATCAGGAGTTCCATATGCCATTGATATGGTATTTAAGTTTCTCCTGCGCATCAATCCTGAGGAAAATAATTCCACCGCACACTGACATTATAGACACAGATGTTAACAATACTATTGACTGTCTTTAAATGTCACTTTACTGACGAGTTTTGTATTAAATTTGACCGGAAATCGTATTTTAATATAAAATTTCAATCTTTATATATAACTTTTGGTTAATGTCAATCTGTCAGTGATGACAAGAGTCGCTATAGACGTTTAGCAATGTCACAGATGCGGCCGGTAAAGTGACAGGTGGCGGAAAAGTAGTCTGATCTGTCTCTGTCATGGAAACCAAACTTTCCTGACAGAAAGTAGGCATGAAAATGAAGGTTTCAGGACGATTTTGGGTAAAAGTTTATTTTTATAAACAATAGTGATATGACGTGACGACACGTTGACAATTAGCAAATCTCTCTATATTTTTTTTAACCAAATGCCATCTTTAATTACATTCTACATTCATAACAATGTAGCAACGTCTCTTTCATCATAAAATTTGATCCGTTATACAAATCATCTTCAAAATCTAGCATGGCGTTTGTGTAAATGGGGTTGAATCTCGTTTGTAATTCTAACTTTCAAATTTGATGCAAAAACGTTATATTGCACACCAAGTACCTTTATACTTCTTGCATTTCACCCTGTCTCTATTTTTGTTCTCGCCTCCATATTTCCATAGTGACTGCGGTATTATAATTGCTCGTTCAACATTTTTCCCTTGTTCCCTTGTTAATAACTTAATAACGTCTACTGAATATAAAGGTAAAGAGGGTTAAAAGTACCTAAATCGTTCATCATGCCCCCTTTTTATTAAACAATTGTATTAACAAATCCAGACACCGTTTTAACACTTTATTAACTGAAGATAAAAGGAACATATAAATTAGGAACGCCATAAAATTTGGTTATAAATTCTCCTTATTCTCTAGAAGAACTAATAAACCAAATCTTTAAAATGATAAAGTGCCTGAGAGTTTGATATGGTACTACGCTGATAACATCTTAAATAATTTCTCTTTGGTGCTCCGCTTTAGATCAAGGAACAACATTGCAACGTACCCAAAGATAATAAATTTTTGTTAAGATAAGATTGAACTAACGGGCACTGTGTCTCTTAAAGAAACACCCTATAAATAAGGGGAATAATATCCAACAAAATAAAATAAATTGCCCTATAAAACGGAATCTCTAACCGGAAATATTTTACTCTTGTACAAACTGAGAATTATGCCATAAATTTTAATAGCATATGGTCTTGTGCAAATTGAGCTTTAGAGGAAAATTGAAATGGGAAAAAGATGGCCCATTAGAAAACGATAACTCATTAAAGTTGTAGAATTATTTTAAAAACTGACATTTACTCAAAATCCGCATTGATTGAACCTCTAACGCACCTTGTAAGTTTTATCATTGAGTAAGAGCTTTCGGTGGTTTTATCTTAACTTGGGAAACTGTCTAGGCATTGCTATAAAGGGGTGGATGAAGAATGCGATAGTTTTGACTACATGACACTTAATGAGCCCTAAAGTTTGATTACTCCCTCACTGTGAACATTTCCCCACCATTTTCGGTGACAGTTGGGTAAGTGCAATTAAACATGAAACGCGTGATTGGTCGGAAATACGCATACATCTACCTAATTATCGTCAAAATTGAATCAACTGTAAACGCTTGAAGGCTCACACGACGAAATATAAATTAGAAATTTCGAACCTCCTTTCCTTTATTTCAGTACCTAGCGTTAATTAACATTTGTTTTGAATCATAGAGCCATCCATTAATTGCACCCTTTAGAAGACAATTGATCCACCCTAGGCGGAATTGAAAGAAAGAAGTTTAACTAATAACATAAAAACCTCATTCGCACTTTTAATCCTACAAGCAGGCAAAAGCAGAATATAAGAACAGCACGTAATCCAACCCACTACATAAAAATGTTAAGAATACGCCGAAAACTCTTTTAAGCTAAAACAAAATTGTATACTGCATCCCTTTACACGTTGAAGTGGATGAAATTGGTTTCATAAAAGTTAAACTGCTCAACTACCTACGTTAGGAAACATAAGCCCTTCTGTTTAATTAATTTCGGAACGTGCTTTTATGACAGTAGCGCAACTTTTTTTGGATATACCGATACCAACAGGGATTGTTTTCCTAAAATTATTTTTCTTATTTCAGATCACCACAGAAGACGTAAACATCGGGTGGCGAGCGGAAAAAGAGGTAAAGTTTATTTTTCATTATATTAGGTTTTGTGGTGGGGGGTCTGTATTTAGAAAGGAAGGAAGAGTAAAGATAAACGATCCTACAAAAAGAAATTAGCCAGTCATAATAATTGGTTGTTCACGTGGTGATTGTGCACATTAGACATGTTAAGCTCTACGTCAGGTCAACAATTTTGGTTTCGTTTGATTCTCCATCGCAAATTACGTGGTCGGTAATTTCAAAGAAGCAGCTTTTAATCTCGTTAATACTATTTAATTCGAGTCGTCCATCATAACTAGCAAAGGCACTTTAGGCTGATAGGAACAAGCACAAAGCTCGACCTTTCACAATTAAAGATCCCAAGATAAACTCACATTTGTTTCCACTAATGGCCGAAATAGAGAAAAATGTTCTTTTTTGTTTGAAAGTTAACGTTAAAGTTCTAATTGGAGTTTAATAACTTGTATAATTTTCAAATATTGCTAATTATTTGATTATCTTAAAAGCGTAATTTGTCTACGGAGTGCTTAGGTACATTACGTAACTTGTAAACTTTCCTTCTTTCGAGATTATAGTCGCAAACTTTCTGTATTTGCAAATAATTACCAAAATCTGTCGACGATCTGAGAGCACGACATCAAGGACTTTTGCAACTTTAAGTATTATTACAAACAAAATTTAATTACGGGTTTTTAATAGGTATGTATTACTTCTAAAAGATATGTAGGTACCTATTTTTCAAGAATGCCTGGACTACATTTACTTATAAAGGCAAAGTAGTAGCAATGTTGCCAGGAATATTTTAAATGAATATAGTAGTATAATGGAACGATTCTATGGGCGCCCACCGAACCGACTGCATTCTATCCTATCCTATCTTTTATTGGATTTTATTGGATCTTTTTGTGCTGAATTTTTTGATTAACAAATAATATCCAACTAAATTTTGTGGCCGTATCTGTAAAGTTTAATCTACTTCAGTTCGTCAAAATATTTCTTTGCCACGTCGAGACTCTGAAGTAAGACATTATTTTCGATTAACGGGAAAATTTCTTAAATTTAAATTCTCAATGGTTCTATACACCTCCGGATGGGAAAAAAATATTCTACGAGTTCACTTCATTTTTATATACCTACCTATATCCTGAACTTTTATCCATGCGCTTAAGTTTGAAAGTTGTTGGGGCTTTTGTATGACGATTTATTAATTGAACTTCTTTTCTGATTTCCTTCACTTCTGTCCGTACTTACCAAGTGCCACTTTAGAATGTTTTTCTTTTTTTGTATTCAATCATGAATCATATTCTAGAAAATATGGAGTAGAACCCTTCCTTATATAGTTTAACGTAATCTTCAGTTGCAGTAACTACATATTTTGATTGTAAATAATAATTCTTTATACTTATTTCTGTTTTCAAAGATGCAAAAAAAATATTTAATAATACCAATGCGTTATACATTTTCAAAATTATTATTTTTTTGTAATCATAAGTTGGTAATACAATATTTTTGGTTGGCAATATTAGTGTGTAACGATACCAACTAAAATAGCACTGGACACATATTAAACATTTGACATCTTGTGTAGTTTTTAAAGAATTACGTACAAAAGTCAACAATTGTAAATTAGTTGTTTTTCTAATCATGAGGTGGTAACACAATAATACGTTTCGTTGGTAACATAATTTTGTTACTACTTCTCACTTCTGAAAAATAATTTGATTACATTATACAGGGTGGTGACTTGCGTAACGCATCATATGGATTTCAATGTAAAATTCATAACATGCGATTATTGGCTCCCCAAATTATTTTAGAGCAAAAATGTATTCAAGTTTTTTGTAGAAGAATTTTTTTTACGCCAATCAACCGTATTAGTTTTCAATTTTTTTCATATAAAGACGGAAAATTGGAAAAATACAACCCGCATCTTTTTCAATAATCTGCTATGCCATACGATCTAGATACCCCGGATATATGTCTCAATTTTAAATGTCATTATTAAGATTAACCCAGTAATTGTTTTTTACTTTCCTTACTAGGGAGGAAAATTACATTTTCTTCACCCTTTTTCGAGACAAAAGTAGTTTTTTGCTAAAGTAGTTTCAGAAAAAAACGTTTTCGCGTGCATCGAGAATACATGCGGGAACATTATCTTTTCACACAATGAGTACAAAAAAACTACGTTGCACAGAACCGATAGGTTATCGTCCGCCTTTTACATTAATATACTATCTTTGGAAAAGAAAATTAGCTTTCTACAACAGAGCCAGTTTTTCATTCAGTGGATTGTCTAAAATGATTACCCGGTTCACATAAAAATTGGTAAATATATTGTATAGAGGAATTATTCATTTATATTTTTATATTGTACCCTTATTCGACTCTCCGGTTTTAACCATATTTAAAAGTAGAAGCTGTAGATTATTTTTGAATTTTTCAGAATTGTATATATCTAAAGTCAAAATTTTCACGTAAAAGACTTTGTTAGTATCCGAGTTTAATTGAGCTATTTGGACAGGTCTTTATTTGGGTGGCTTAGTTACCATTTGCAATATATAATATATTTTATATAATATATGATATATAATATCCTATCTTAATAAATGTACTTAGTTTATACTTCCATCATTCTCTCAACTCTTATTTAGATCGTACACAGTGTGTTGTAAAAACTGCGTATAGACTTGCATGTCTCCTAATGATACAGAGTCAACTTAATTTTACCAGAAATTAGATTTTACAGAACTGTTTCTGCCGAAGCAAAATACCTATCACGATGATTAACTGACATATACGGATATAACGGTCTACTAATTCAAATGGAATGCGTTTCGTTATCATGTTTCTCCTTTAAAACCAGAACCATAAACAAATTTTCATTTCAAT